TAAATAAATAAATAAATAAATAAATAAATAAATAAATAAATAAATAAATAAATAAATAAATAAATAAATAAATAAATAAATAAATAAATAAATAAATAAATAAATAAATAAAGCTGGGTTGACGGAATTTCAACAATTTCATGCTTTTACTTACACCATTAAAAAGGGACTCTGAGTTCGTATTGATTACTTTTTTTAAAAACGCAGAGATGCAAATAGTCTCGTTCAGAGGGGAGAACTTGTTTTTGCCTGTCTTCATTATAGTGTTCACTTCCCTCTCCAGTCCATCCACTGCCCAAAGTAGTATACCTCAAATTATTTCAAATTATTGTAGTGCATTGCGAGATTGCTACGTCGGGTTGCGCGAGCTGTCGCGCTTTGTGATTGGCGGAACTATGTTCGACCATGCTTATCGAATTGCTTAGCACCCACATTGATTCGGAACTGCGATATGCTATATGGTTATATAGGTCAGTAGAATAGTAGATGCGGTGACGTGAGAGAATGGAACGCTATTTGATGGGTAAAAATAAAATTTTGTGACTTTCGGTGACAATTTACGTCTATCCTTAAATGGCCGTGGTCGTGGCGCAGCGCCTGGTTGATTTACTTGTAAAGAAACCAATTATATTACACGAGTTGTACACATCGCTATGAGTCCCATATTGAAAAGAAGGACGACCGCCCTTTAACTTGCCGCCACATTTCAGCCTATCCCACGGCCAGTGCACCGGGAACGTCGACCGGCGTCACAGACGGACCGGAACAGGAAGTCAGTAGAAGCCAAACGATTTCTTCGTTAGCGTGGGGGAAATTTGGTTAGCGTGGGGAAAACAGAGGTGTTAATCCGAGAATTCATTGTCTTTTTCTGTTTGTGATTGGTCCTAGCATTACCTCCATGATCGTAACGTAGCTCCGACTGTAAGAATATCTAAACAGAATCCCTTTACACTTTTATTCTGTATATTCATATGATCACTGTTCAATCACGGACTCTAAAAAGTGACCTCTTTCTACGGCCTCAGTATGCTTTAATACACACGTGACGCCACACCTATCACACCCAATGAAATTGACATTGATCTCCTACAGACTGAACCTGACAATGAGTAATTGTTTGCTTTAACAATTGAACAATTAAACATTGAATTTCTATCAGTTTCTTTATATATTAACAGCTGATGTGCTTGCAAATTTCGTGCGTGGCTGCGGTTTATTAATTTCTGTCATGCGAAACGACTTTTACTTGACAGTCGAATTATATACTGAAAAGTAAATTCACCTGTCTACCGTGTATCTGACCCGACAAAGAGCTTTCACTCACATTTCTCTTTTAGTAAACACGTGAAATTTCCGCTAACGGTAAATATTCGCTTTAAAATAAAGGTTCCAATAGAAGAGTTTATGGAGTACAGTCTATCCCACTCATGCTGACACATGTGATACACCACAGTTCCTCTCTCAAACTGGATGTACACAGCAAATGTATCGACCATTTTGTGGTCAATACAAAACCAAATAAGAAAAAATATAAAAACCAAAAAAGTACAAATATTAGTATGGTAGCACTATAACTGAAAAAAATATTTAACTGTGCCCAGGCATGTTTAAAAAATTAAGTCGCTCAAAGAAGAATGGATGCCTATTACGCAACGACCTAAGTCGCTAATTTCACCATTGTTTCACACGAAGACAAAAGCAACTTGAAGATTCACTCAATGGAGGTCACGTGACCCGATTCACGATGCCTATTCATGCGTTGAAATATCCTATTCGACACCATTCACATAGTAACACTCTGGGTACATACGTGTCTTAAGGTCGAGAGTAGAAACCTCAGGGAAACTTCAACACTTGTTTACGAATTACTCGAAACTCTCTCAGCTGTTAACTCTAAAAGTTGATTGCAGACTTCAACGAACTCGGAGAATATAGTATGGGCGTTGGTCGAAACACTTGTTGAACGTGATTGGAACTGATTCACCTACACATATCAATACCAGGGCATGTACCGTTCGATTGATTGATTGACAACCATGGGAACGCAAGACGATACACTAACTGGCCGCGTACTGATTATAATACAGGTTAGTACAGTAGAGTGCGTCAGTCTGGAACTCGTCAAACGCGCGGACGGGACATACCACTCAACGATACACTTTCATACTCGATTGTTAACAAAGCCGGTCGATGATCGATTGGAAATATAGGTCAGGCAATTGAGGGGGGTCGTACATATACGTTTTTTTAGAGTCTATCGTTTATACAATGATACTATTTCAGTGTCACATAATTCCACACTGTGATGATAGTACGTTTATAATGAATTATGCATAATGGGTTTGACACGGATTATAAAATTAGTTTGCATTATGTGACAGTAAATCTGAATTATTACAATATATATTATTATTAATACGTGTGGCTTTGATTTCCGATAAATATATCGGATATACATGTACATCGTCGCCACGTACACACAGTCCGAGTTTGGTGAGGGTTACGCCATACAGCGCAACACTAACATTAAACGCGATCAAATCTCGGCAAAACACTCCCGGTAGTGCAGAGGTGAATATATGTATAGTACATACTGTGTACATTGGCGTACTGTAGATCATCGAGTATGGCGAGAATTTTGTAAAAGCATTATTTTTCACTGGGATTTAACTTCACTTATTTGGCGCATATTTCTAAATTCGCAAATTTGCCATGGAAACAATGAGTTTTGGATTTCATTTAGCGGGTTCTACTTAATAGCGAAATGGCGAAATTGTAAGCCAGTGAAAACACGTTTACACTGCTGCAAGTCTTACTTCATGAACTGTCCCTGTATCTGTATAGAGAGGCATTTAGGGCTGGGGTCAAGGTTTCATTCTTCGACCTGAATGAAAATCATTAAGTTATTGTTATGTTGATATTCAGTTAACTGGTCATCATTGTCATGTTAATTTGTATTGTGTTTAAGAATGTGGATCGCCGAGGATAACTCGGCTAATAACTAGTGAATGTAAAATCCGTAATGTTTAGTGAATAAAATGTGGTCGGATTCTCTTTTAGTAACCGTGGATTAGGTGTGTACATATATGTGATGTACTGCGGACACCAGTTCGTTAGTAACGTCCTTACGTCTAAGTTAAAACATTCCTGCGTCTGCTGAACAACAGTTTGTATAACCTGATATACATGTAATTACCGCAGTATATAATGCATCATTGTCACGAAATTGCATATGAAAGCCTCAGTGTCTGTATTTGATTTAATACTGCATAGAACGACAAAACATATGTTAGCTTTGTTGCGCGAAGTGCCCTAACAGACCTTTCCCTATACTACAAGTACGGTGACGGTCAATGACGGCCATATCGCCAGTGTACGCGCCCATCCCATAGAATATCGTGTTCTCAGCTTGGCCGACCAACCTATATGAAAAAGTGCGTCACGATTAGCAAGCAAACTCAAGTGCAAACAGGTGAGAAATCAACCTAGATAAAATTAAGTGATTGGGAGAAACACGACTTCACGACCAATCCATCATTTAACCGTATTTTATAAACATTTCCAAGCCAATCTTTGATCACTGAGACGCATATATCGTAGACTGGTATAAGAAGGAATGGTAGATTAACCTTTCGAGCGTAAGGTCAAATGTTGTCACTTTACAGAAAATAAAACGAGCATAATTTGTTTCATATTTTTTTTTCTCAAATTGTTACAAACCTGTAGCCAATAGAAATAATGTCTATTATATATAGCAATAATTAAAAATAAACAAAATTTTAAACAAAATTGTTGTCGTGAAAGGGTATAGCGACCTAGAGACTTATAGCGCCAAGGTAGCCGTTCAACAGTTTGAATACACGTATTTTACACGCGGTGTACACGTCACATGGAACCCATGATATCGAAAACGACACGATGTCACGACTCTGGCGTTTTGGTCTCGGTTTTTGGTTTGATTTGGTCTTTTGGTCTTGGATAAGCACTACTCGAACACTATTGCAACTGAACAGTATTTGCCTGGCAAGTTGAATTCATGTAAACTACCAACAATACAAAAATATAACTCGTACTTTTTATTATCACAACCATCCTACATAGTAGATTTGTCCATTCTCTGGGACGTTCCGGTATTGACCGTGGCTTTAAGAAACCCGCGCCGGTATTGAACCGCACCTTGCGTTCCACACAATAAACGACGTTACTAAGTGCATTGTGTTTTTTTTACCTTGTATGTTTTTATGTTTCTTTTTTGTTGTTGTCATTCTGTTTTCTTCCACATACGCGTTATTTCCATCCCATAAAATTGACATGCATTCATCATGTGTTAAGTGCACATACACGCAAAAGTTCAAAGGGTCATGCACTGTCTCCTCGTGAGAAACCCAAGTATCGTTCTTATAATTGGTATTCACCTGCATGCTTATCCACCTTCAAAGCATTTATGTTGCCGATAGCTGTAAGTTGCAGATTACTTTTTACGTTTTTTTTTTGGGGGGGGGGGTCAAAATTCGTCGATTTAAAAACACAATTTTCTTTTGTACTTCTCACACCGTGACGTTATTTATTTACATTTTGCAAAGCAGCTTGCGAGATGCACCGTTATTTTGTCCAAGGTTTGCTATAGATGTATATCGATTTTACATTGTCATAAATAGTGTAATTACCAAAATATTTGCCCCGTCGATTTCTTTAATAATAATTGAATCGTTACACCACAACACTTCAAACATATATACTGACAAAAACGCTTCCATGACCACCCAACGGCCATAATAATTTTACTGAAATGTTTCGTTCAACGTCTTTTCTTTCATTACCAGGTTTTCATATTTATTGGTTTCTCCAATGCCGGTAAGTGAATATGTGGCCTTAAACGAACTTTATATGATCAAGACAATCCAAGAAAGCTACAATAATTAAATGTTTGTTGTTGTTCATCATTGTTTAGAATGAAATACAGAATTGTTTATTTGCTAATACAACAACATTACGAAGTCTCACGTGAGCAACAAGGGGAACGCATCACCGTACCATTGGCCATCCTTGTACACCACGTTTTGTATTCTTATTCTGTGAATTTTTCAGGTAATTTCGTGTTACTAATGTGATAAATGAATTCATATACAAAGTTCATAAATGTGAATCTGATTTTAATTTCAGGGTACAAATGTACGGATGATTGTGCATACTCGCATGACAATTTGTGCGATGATGGAGGAGTGGATTCATACAGTAATTATTGTTACCTGGGAAGTGACTGCGATGACTGCGGACCCAGAGAAGGTAAATGCACATACGCGTTACATAATGCACGCTTTCATTACATAATGCACGTGCTCATTTCATAATGAATTTTCTCATTACATAATCTAGTATTCATTTCATAATACATAATAATTTCATAATACTCAACATACGTAATGCACATACTAATTATAAGATGCACTCACTCAATATGTTAACAATGTACATTACATAATGTATAATCCACGTATTCATGACATAATCAATATATTCGTGACATAATCTAGATATCCATAACTTAATCCGCATATTCATATCATAAAAATCCAGCTATTTAAGACACAATCCACATTTACATGACATCATCCACATATTCAGGACATAATCCATGTATTCATGACGTAATCAACGCAATCATGGTCTATTCCATGTATTCATGACATTATCTACATACTAATGACATAATCTAGATATCCATAACATAATCCACATATTCATGACATTATCAACGTATTCATGACATAATCTACATATTCATGACATTATCTACGTATTCATGACATACTTCGCCTATTTATGATATTATCTACATACTCATAACATAATCTAGATATTCATAACGTAATCCACATATTCATGACATAATCCAGGTATTCAAGACATAATCCACATACTCATAACATAATTCGCGCATTTATGACACAATCTACATGTTCATAACATAATCCACATATTCATGACATACATGTATTAATAACATAATGTATGTATTATGCTCATTGTTCTTGATTTTGCAGTTCCTGACACAACCACAGTTGCACCGCCAACAACACCAACAACACCAACAACACCAAGTTCAACAACAAGAACAACTGCAATGCATGCTATGCAGACGACATTTGTGCATACAACCACTGCAGCATCTGAAGCTGAACATGCCCACACAACGCTGAACACTAGTACAGATGCCAGCAAAACAACAGGTATAAGCCAACATTTACGAAAATTAGTCGCTTTTCTTGGTTATTCAAATCACATGACTGAAAGCTGCATTGTGATTATTTATTTTATCATTGACCTTTCTTCCATAAAATAAAATAAAATATATATTGTGGGAAGCCTGTGAATATTGATTGATATTTTACTGATGGCCACTACTTGAATACATAATAATTAAGTGATCACATGTAACAAATAAGAGAATTGCAGTGTATAATTCTGTGGCGCCCTTCTTCTATATCTATCTGCAGATCTTCAGACAGAGGGACATGAAACATCAGGAGCAGAATCCACTCACACCCCAGAAATTGTCACAGATGTTATACACAGCTCCAGAACAGAGTATGAAGTGATGTCAATGATGACAACCAATGAAAATGAAGAGAACAATGTAACAATGTACAATATAAGAACAGAAGAACAAGAAACAGAGGTTGTAGATAGTTCTACATTGGTTGGTACAGAAATAGTGATTACTGGTTTTACACCAACAGAAGAACAAGAAACAGAGGTTGTAGATAGTTCTACATTGGTTGGTACAGAAATAGTGACTACTGATTTTACACCAACAGAAGAACAAGAAACAGAGGTTGTAGATAGTTCTATATTGGTTGGTACAGAAATAGTGACTACTGATTTTACACCAACAGAAGAACAAGAAACAGAGGTTGTAGATAGTTCTACAGTGGTTGGTACAGAAAGAGTGACTACTGATTTTACACCAACAGAAGAGCAAGAAACAGAGGCTGTAGGGAGTTCTACATTGGTTGGTACAGAAATAGTGATTATTAGTTTTACACCAACAGAAGAACAAGAAACAGAGGTTGTAGATAGTTCTAAATTGGTTGGTACAGAAATAGTAACTACTGATTTTACACCAACAGAAGAACAAGAAACAGAGTGTGTAGATAGTTCCACATTGGTTAGTACAGAAATAGCGACTAATGGTTTTAAACCAACAGAAGAACAAGAAACAGAGGTTGTAGATAGTTCTACATTGATTGGTACAGAAACAATGACTACTGATTTTACACCAACAGAAGAACAAGAAACAGAGGTTATAGATAGTTCTACAGTGGTTGGTACAGAAATAGTGATTATTAGTTTTACACCAACAGAAGAACAAGAAACAGAGGTTGTAGATAGTTTAAATTGGTTGGTACAGAAATAGTGACTACTGGTTTTGCACCAACAGAAGAACAAGAAACAGAGGTTGTAGATAGTTCTACATTGGTTGTTACAGAAATAGCGACTACTGGTTTTGTACCAACAGAAGAACA